CATCCCTGCACACTCTGACAACGTCCCTGTATTCCTCCCAAGTGGCCTGTCCCCTTTTCCACATTCTGTACACTTCCTTCTTCTGTTGGAGTTTGGCCAGGAGTTCCTTGCTCATCCATGCAGGTCTCCTGCCTGCTTTGCTCGACTTCTTCCTCATAGGGATGCCCCCGTCTTGAGCCTGGAGGAGGTGATGCTTGAATATTAACCAGCTTTCTTGGACCCCCTCTTCCTTCTAGGGCCCTACCCCATGAGAGTCCTCCAAGTAGGTCCCTGAAGAGGCCAAAGTTAGCTCTCCTGAAGTCCAGGCTTGCGATCTTACTCATTGCCCTGCTCCCTCCTCGCAGGATCCTGAACGCCACCATCTCATGGTCACTGCAGCCAAGGCTGCCCCCAACCTTCACCTCTCCAACTAGACCTTCTTTGTTTGTTAGTGCAAGGTCTAGCAGCACACCTCTCCTTGTTGGCTTCTCCACCACCTGGGTCAAGAAGTTATCATCCATGCTCTGGAGGAACCTCCTCGACCTACCTTTAAAGCCAGGTGAGGTCAGGTGAGTCAGGTGAATTAAGCATCTTTTGGGAGACTTATCCTACCATAAGATTGACATCTGAGTGAGTTAGATTTATGTCTCCTTGGAGAGGCCATCATATTTATGCAAAGCTGGGCTGACTGTGGCTTACATTACCATACGGGGTTCAGGGCAACAAGGATGCCGAAACTGGCATAAAGACATTGGTGATAGTAAAGCAAATCATCTGTTGGCATCCTGGCCTCAGGAGGAGCCCCAGTAAAAGGGACTGCTGTGTGACTTTAAACACTAGTATTACCTTACATTACTTTTTTCTTGCCGTTGGTGAACAGCCTGATTGCGAGAGAAGGTCCCCCATGTTCTATCAAAAAGATAAAGGAAAGATCCTGGGGAGTAAGTTATCCTGCTAGCATCACAGTTAGGGTTTAGGCAGTCTTTATGTACACCTTGCCCAAGCACATGGTACTATCACTCTTTACCTATAGAAAGTAATTCATTTCGATAAATATTTAAGATAAAGGGGAGTGAATCAGCTACACTAACTGAAGCATCCCAAGACCTAGATAATATTTATTAGGTGAGGGTCCATATACAAGAGAAGTTTTAGTCTGAGGCATAGGTCAAAAGCCAGAAGACCTGCCTTCTGATTCTGTTTTGGATGTTAATATGTATTTCTGAGACCACCACCAGAAAATGGCTGTTAGCGTATTTTCCTGTCGTCTCCATGTTGGGCAGATTGCATCCATGATAGGATGAAAACTTGGTATCTCTGGAGTTCTGCACCCAGCGCTGGAGAGTATCACCCATGCTGCATCACAATGGCCAGTGCTTTCTGGAAATCTGCCCTACTTTTTTAAGTGGGGTTTTAATAGTGAAAATGAGAATAGCATTCACACCTCCTGGAACCCAAGCCTTTTGTGTTCACTTCACTAGGTCATTTAGGCACCAAGGAGAATTACACTTTTACTTCCAGCTGAATATTCCTCAGGGAGAATTTTGGAAGCAAAAGTGTCCTTTTCATGGGGGGTAGGAGGTAGTTAAAGTGAAATAAAGAAAATATTCTTAAGGAAAATGTAACATTTTCTCAAACGGAGGAAAAAAAAATGCCTAAGATAACTCTGTTTTCTTTTTTTCTTTTTCCCAGACTCATCTGCAAGTAAATTTTGTTGTAAAAGCCTTTCAGGACAAATACGTCATTCTGCTCTACCAAAATACATCACTTTTGTCCTGTTCAAGATATTCCAGATATCTTTTCAGTGCAGTGGAGATCTATTTTATCTGTCCTTTATATGATTTGTAAAAGAACAGGACACATCTCTCTGTGCTGATGTAGTTTCTGAGGAAGTTTGTTCGAGGAATGTATTTTGTCAGCAATACACACTGATGGCTCAATTCCCTGTCGTATCTTCTTACCACCAATAACTCTTAATAGGGAAAAAATTACAAGCTCCTTCTCTTGATGCCATGGGGGGCCGTTTAGATGAATATCAGCAAATCCTCAAGCTCTTTATGCTGAGGAAATCTTTTTCAAGAGTCCTTCAGGCTTCCCTAGCCCCTTGGCATATTATGCACAGTAACTGGCCTCAGTATGGAAGAGTAAGTTTTAACTGTGTCAAGGGGAGATAGCAGACCTGTCACATATACTTTTCTCTGGCTTGAATTGCAAGTTGCTTGGGTTTGATGTCTGAAAGAGAACTAATTTGGCACCAAATAACTGAACTAGGGTCTTAGGCACTGCTGATAACTAAACTGGGGACTTCAGTACTGCTGCTACTTGGGCAAATGCGAGCTGTTGATGCCACTTATTTCTAGGAGAAGGTAGGGCCAGAGGTTTGAAACACAGCTGTGGAAACTCAGTGATCCCAACCTGTAGAGAGACTGCTATCTAAAACAGTGCCAATTAAAGAGTTAAAAAACGTCCCAGAGCTGGGACTCGCATGTAATCAGCTACTTGCTTACAAGCAAGAGGCCATTCAAGGAAAAGGCCATCTGGCGGAGGAGTGGCAAGGCAGCTGGGAGACCTGACAGTGTTATCACTACCTGGGGTATTTTCAGAGCTCAGCGTTGTCCTGCCAAAACCATTCCCCTGGCCTGGTCGTAGGAAAGAGGGTGCGCAGCACCTTTGCAAAGTCTTATCACAGTCTGTTAAGCACCTTCACCAAAGCTGTAAGCCTGCACTTCTTGATCCCTCAGGCTGTCTGTGCTGATAATTGTCACCTCATGAGGGAAGGTGAGTAGGCCTGAGATGCAATTAATTGGGATGCACTCAGCGCTTGGAGTCTTTGATGAGTGCAATCTCTAAAGAAAGGCACAGCATTATTATTAATTATAATTGCTACGCCCTTTGGCTCCCTGACTAATTGTTTCCAGAACTTCCTGTTCTCATCAGATTGTCAGCCAGGACTTCCAGAAAGGGCATTTTTAGAGCAGTGAATTGCAAGAGAGCTGACAGGCACCGCGAGGTGGTACTTCCCGCGCACATGGCCTGCCGAACAAAGGATCAAGCCAAAGGCCATGCTGTTGGAAAAGCAGCAGCACTTTCTGCAGCAGGATAAAATACTGTTGTCAGTAACCTATCAGGAGAGAAGTAAGGGAGATGTGCTGGATTGTGAAACTCTGACACCAGCTTTGGGTGTTATCTTGGTGTAATTTGTGGAAACGTACAGCTATAATAAAACATGCCAGGAAAGAGGTTTACATCCAAATGAATACAAGAACAAATGCAGAAGCCACGTGACAGAAGACTTGAAGATGACTAGGAGAGGAGGGATACTGTGCCTTCAGCCTGGACTGGCTTCCGCTGCATTGGCAGTGAAAGAGGAGATGAAAGAAATGAGGCAGTTCGAGTTTGCTCCCTTTTCCCAGTTCTCCCTGTTTGTATTGAGCGTTACATTGCTCCCACATGCTGTGGGAACTTCTCAGGTGGGTAGGTTAAGGAAGGTGAACTGGAACATGTGCTTGCTCCAGAGCAGCACTGTCAGAAATGGACAGTTTTTCATTTTTTGATTAAATTCTCAGAGGGAGGAATTGCCGTTTACTGTCAGGAAAAAAGTGAGAGTTGATAAATTTGGGAGGATGGTACTACCACAAAAGTTAAAATTCTTTAATTCAGACTTACCAAAACCATGGAAACATTTGGAGTTTGGCTTTTTGGTTTTCAAGAAAAGCTAAGGTTTACAAAGAAAGGAGACTCTTTTTCATACCTTGTCATCACAAAAGCTTTGAAAAAAAAGTTTATTCATACCTGTGCATGGTGTTGTCATGCTCACCTGACCAAACATCAGACTCAAAGGCTAGCGGTAATTTTGCCCCACGTTGGACTGGCAAGGGTTATTGTCTGTACAGTGCATTGAGGGACAGGTTTTTTTCTTGTTTTCCTCTATCACGTGGGGTGCCATCCATCTGACTGTGAAGATGTGACCTACTGAACTCCCTGCTATTGCAGGCATCTCAGATACCAGCAGTGTTCTTAGTGTCTGTCTGGCTCTCTCCTGGTGGTTCCTGGTAGTTTCTAAGATTTTGGTTTTAAGTGGTTGATAGGATGCTGGAGAGCAGCTTAGCGCTGTAGAAGAAAGAGGAATAGCTATGGATGATCTAAGCCACTCCTGTCCAATCTGCAATTGCAATTATCCCTCTTCAGTGTTCCTGAAGGGTTTTTGCAGAAAACAGCAGTAAACGTTCCTGGTAAGTGGCAAATCTATCTGCAGAGAGGACAAAAACAATGTCAAGAGCAACTCGATGTTTCTTCTTTGTTCCCAGCTCCCTGCACTGAGGCTGAACTCCGCATGGATAGGGTATCCGCACAGTGCCCCTGTTCCTGAGGTGGGATTGCAGAAGATTATTCCCTTCAGAATCACATCTCCATCCCAGTGATGCTCAGGCAGCATTTGGAGGTCGTGAGGGAGACCAGATTTAAATGGCACTTGAGTCCTGTGTAGGATTCATTATCAGCCCTGTTATGAAAAATAACCTTCAGCTGTTGTGCACTGGACTTGGGAAGGGAAGAGTCAAGAGTCAGGATGGTCGTGAGGAGTCTGGTGAGGTAGGTGGAGTCTCCAAGCTTTCCAGACAAACCCAGGCTTTTTCCTTCAGAACACTCAAGCCTCCCATGCGCTCTGCAGGCATTTCACCCTATTTGGGTCCGAAACAGTTTTTTGTCCAAAGCAGATATATTTCGACAAATATTTCCTTCCTTCCTCTCTCCTCATTGCTCCTTGCATGTGAATCTGCAGGGTTTGCGTTAGCCTCTTGTTTGGCATTAGCCTTCCTCATCTCTCGTCCTTCTGATGCTCTTCAACTCCATAGCTCAGCTGCATGCTGCTTGGCCCAGCATCCCCTCTTGAAGGCCTGCAAGTGCATTCTCCGTGACTAGTGTTGCTTGGACTTGTAGAAAGCAAGGCTTCAGAAGTTTCCCAGGCTGATTTGGAAAGGTGACTGTGCCAGGAGGAAAGCAGAGTGATCAGGTCCTGCCCTTTCAATCTCGATTTGAAGAATGAGGCCAAAGCCCTGGAATGAGATACCGATTTGCAGCTGTCATGAGGGTGCTGTTGCAGAGTGCAGGAATAAATCATTGTGCTACAATGAGACACACTTTTCACTTGCTGTCTCAAGAAGAAGCTAAAATGCTTTTCCTCGCTGCTGCCTTGCTAGTTGAATAAACTCTGTACCTTTCCAATACCTCACAGTGCTGGCCTCTGCTCTAGCCTTTGGGTTTTTCACCTTTATTATGTTGAGAAGCAGTATTTTCCTGGGTGTGCATGTTAAAAATGTGCAAGCAGCTGAAACTGAATTTCCTATCAACTAGGGGGAAAAAACAGAAAAGCAAATATCTACTTCCTTTGGTAGAGACTGAAGTGTGTTATTTTGAATTGTCATCCCTCACTAACTACATAGCTAGACCCACCCTCCCGAGGATTGAGAGCAGTTTTTTGGTTCACAGTTTATTCAAGCAGGAAATCGCTTGTAATCTGACTCATTGGTTGTTGAAATCAGTTTTTCTATCAGCCACTCTGGTTACCTTAGAAGTGATTTGAACTTGAAAAGAGAATGGCCTTACACCTGCTTTATCATCACAATGATCTGTTTGACAAAACTGAGTGATTTGGACTTAAGAAAGTGCCACTGTTTGTAAGCAGGATGCCAAACACCTGGCAACTGGCAGGCCCTCCTGAGCTCCTGACATTTGCAGTTTGACACTGGAAGGACCCAGGTGAGGCGTGTACCCTTGGCTACCTGCAGAGGTGCACAACAGAGGCCATGTGTGATAAGGAAATATTAGCCTCAGTAAAGCTGACTCCAGTTATCTCGCTGCAACAGCTGCTGCAGGCTGTCCCGTAGTTATATTGCTATTGTCCTCTCTGAAGCACTTAATTGTTTTTGTGGACATTGCCCAGTAAGTTGTTCTTGTCTCCTCAAATCAGCCCGCTAGCTCCAGCTCACCTTTAGCAGCAGATGGAAGTACCTGGTCCTACTTTCCATCCGTGGTCGCTCTGCCAACCCTGCTGCCTCTTTCCAGTCCCCCCCTAGAGCACTGCTGCAGTTTCTAGGGTGCGTTTCATAAAGTGCCTGTAGAGTTTAAGAGCACAGCTCCCAGTGATAATTGATGAGGCTTATCAGTGCTGCAGGTGTGCAGTCACAGACTCCTCCACCTCCACCTCCACCTCGCTTCCCTACA